ACATAAGCCTACAAAAGCAATCTTATTGACTTTCAAAGAATTATCCGATTTTTACCATTCATGTTCGCAGGCTCATGGCTTACTGCACAACCCTGTTGTATCGCGTTAACAATTTCATAAACACACTGCAATAGCCTAAATTGCAATCTTGTTAAAAACTGTCACTGTTTCAAATGTAAGGGAAAACGGGAAAGTCATGGCACTTCCCTCTTTTTCTGACGCAGAGATGTCGAGACAGGGAGTCCGCACTCTTGCTCCCAACACGGGTAACGGAATTTCCGATTCCCCAGGGCACCCTGAGCCGACTTCCTCTCCTACGACAAGCAGAGAAAACCATCGTTTACCAAATGCTACTAAAGTTTTGAAATACATTTACAACTAACAATGAATACAAACTATTAGTGAATCTAAGTAAGTTAACAATGTAACAGTTTGTGACAAGCACCCCGCTACTGTTTCTATAGATATACGTGTTTTAACCACAGAAACCGCTGTTGTTAATTAATCATTCATTACTATTACTTTAGTAGCATTTGGTAAACGATGGTTTTCTCTGCTTGTCGTAGGAGAGGAAGTCGGCTCAGGGTGCCCTGGGGAATCGGAAATTCCGTTACCCGTGTTGGGAGCAAGAGTGCGGACTCTCTGTCTCGACATCTCTGCGTCAGAAAAAGAGGGAAGTGCCATGACTTTCCCGTTTTCCCTTACATTTGAAACAGTGACAGTTTTTAACAAGATTGCAATTTAGGCTATTGCAGTGTGTTTATGAAATTGTTAACGCGATACAACAGGGTTGTGCAGTAAGCCATGAGCCTGCGAACATGAATGGTAAAAATCGGATAATTCTTTGAAAGTCAATAAGATTGCTTTTGTAGGCTTATGTAATATTGTTGCTGGCTAATGGTGTAGCGTGAACAGGTTGTATTAGCCATATGTAATATTTCTAGCATTTGCTGATATTACGCTTAGTCTAAGCTTGGTCTTAACTCTAAGTTATTTTAGTTTTTAACATTGCGTCTTTTAAACTTAATCTATATATACTAATATCTAATAGTAAGCTTTAGCGCAGCTGTTCCCAGTTGAATTATTGCATCAATTGATTTTCATAATTATTTCGTTTTTACTTTGCTCGTTGTTTTCGGTCAGCATAGGCCCTCGTGCATGTGCATGAATCATAGTTGGTCATCGTGCTGCAGCTACGAGTAACTTGCAGGTGATTCATGCCTCTTTTCAGATGCACGTGGATTCTTGCTCGAATTGCTTTCAAATCTACATGGAGATTTCCTTACGAAGGAGGGGAAAAAAATAATTGGTAGTTTTTAATTTACCGGTATTTCACAGATTTTAATAACTATGCATTATGATAACAAAGTTATTTCACATGAACAAATTTATGCAATTATTTCGCTTGAAACTTCTTCTGGCAATACAAAACTCAAAAAAACAGTGGTTAAACACATGCTTCATGGACCTCATACAGAATAAAGTTCTTGTATGGTTGACAAAGAATGTACAAAAAATTTTCCAAAATCTTTTACAAATTTAGTTTTAGTTCAAATGAGTTGTTGTCCGAAATATACAAAACAAAATAATATTTCTGAACAATATGTTTATAAATTTTCGAGTCAAAAAAAAATTTTAGTACATGAATTAATGAATTTTTTTTTGATAAAATATAAATGTCATATCAAAGTCAACTCCAATGAAGCATAAAAAATATTTATGATTACATGCATAAAGGTACTGACAGAGCATACATTAACATTCAACAATTAAAAGACGAAGGTCAAGAAACATAGATAAACTTAATAGTTACGTTGTTGCTAGATATGAAGGTCCAATGGAACCAGCTTAAAGATTGCAAGAATTTTCAATTTGTGGTAGCAGTCATATAGTTGAAAATTTAGCTGTTTATTTTTGCAGCATTTTTTGTCTTGTTTTTTCTTCTTTTCGTATTTTTTCTTTTATTTTAAACTGGGAAGTATTTTTTATTGTTTGTATTGTTTTTGGTTTTTGTGATGTCTTTGTGCTTTTTTTGTTGTATCCAAGCTGTTAACTGTGTTTTGTTTTTTTTTATTAATTTTTTACTTTTTTTTTGTTTGAATATGTTTTCTTGTTTTTTTTAATAATAAACAGCTAAATTTTCAACTATATGACTTCTACCACAAATTGAAAATTCTTGCAATCTTTAAGCTGGTTCCATTGGACCTTCATATCTAGCAACAACGTAACTATTAAGTTTATCTATGTTTCTTNCACAGTTTACAGTTTGGATTGAATTAAATAAGTATGATGACTTTGCGAAATCCATGAAGTATACAAGCAATTAAAAATACTTCCTTTTTTAAAATAAATTAAAAACTTCGTAAAGAAGAAAAAATGTTACAAAAAATTCTGCAATAGGTAGATTAAACACTGTATCTTCAAAAGATCATGTAAGATTTTTTTTAAATTTGTTTTAAATGAAGTAACTGTTTCAACATCGTTCAAAGATGTAAGAACACATCAAGAGATTATATATAAAACTTGCAAAGATTCTACAGTTGCAATGGACTTATATACAATGATGAAAAAATAGATGGCATTTTAAAAAAAACTATTGCTGCTTTGATTTCCTATCAATCCATACAATTTTTTTTTTGGTTTTTTAATTTCAACAAACGTTAAGGATGATAAAATTATGAAACAAATGAGAAGAATTTTTTAAGAAGGATTTGCCTGATAATAAAGGTAATTTAGCTCTTTTACGTATTCACCAAATTAAAGAATCATAAGATAAATGATGTGAATAAATCAATTTACTTACACCGTGTTGGGCGGATGAATCAACTTCACTTGACCTTGTGTCTTTTTAAAAGTCGGTTTATTCAATTCGGTACAAGCAGACTATTAAGTGAAAGAACACTGTGTAGACGATACAAGACGTAGAAGAGAAGAAAACGGTGATGCCGTGTTGACTCGTTAAAGACGACTGACTCCAGACCGCGCCCACCGCTCAGACGGCACCACACATCCTGCTCCCGCTAGAGACCTCTCCAAATGCAGGACGGGCGATTGGTTGGTGAGACCAGGCAATTTAAATACCGGCCAAGACAGTGGTCTGGACGGGGGTCAAACATCCCGCCCACCTTGTTCCTGGAACACAACAGTAGTCCCGCCCGCCGTACGCGTGTTATCTGGAGCACTGTGGACGGGTGATGAAGGACGCCCACTCGAGGTCTTAACTGGCAGGAGTGCGAGCTTGGTGACTGGCCGGAGGTACTCGCCAGTGAAGGTTCTGATGATGGTGGCTCAAACTAGCCAGTCGTGGCCCGGGTGCACACGCAGGATCCATCCAAGAGGCCAGCGGCTGACCACGGAAAGGAGGGTAGGATCGAGGACAGCTACGAGGTCTCCAACGGCGAAATTTTGGCGTGGCGTGGTCCACTTAGGGCACTGCTGGAGGGTGTTAAGGTATTTCCGGCTCCAGCACGTCCAAAACTGAGCTCGAAGACTGCGCACAAGCTCCCAATCGGCAAGCCTGTCGGGGCACTGCTCTGCAAGAGGGGCCTCGATGATAGAGTTTAGAGGGGCTCCGGTAATGAAATGGCCGGGCGTGAGCACTTCAAGGTCATCAACTTCTCCAGAGAGTGGGAGAAAGGGTCGACTATTGAGCACGATTTCGATGCTAACTAACACGGTTGAGAGCTTCTCGTAAGTAAGGTGTCGGCTGCCAATGACACGTCGGAGGTGTCCCTTGACAGACTTAACGCCAGCCTCCCAGAGACCGCCAAAGTGAGAAGCTTCAGGCGGAATGAAGCGCCAATCGATACCTTGGTTAGCCAGGGTCCCAGCGATGAGCTCGCCCTCCAGCTTGATCTGCTGCAGTGCTTCCCGGAGTTCGTGGTCAGCTTGACGAAAACAGGTAGCGTTGTCGCTTCATAGCTCGAACGGACGGCCTTGGCGACCAGAGAAGCGCGTGAGAGTAGCCAAGAACAAGGCAGCAGAGAGATCTCCAACCAGCTCGAGGTGCACGGCCTTCGGGGTCAAGCACACAAGGAGGGTGATGTACCCCTTTGAAGTGTGGATCCCTCGTCCTCTGATGGTGAGTATGTGAGTATGTCGACGGGGCCTGCATAGTCAACCCCAGTACAATCGAAGGCACGAAAGGAAGTGACCCTGGACCAAGGAAGGGGGGTCACCTGTTGAGACGCAGGCCATGCTCGCTAGCGAGCGCAAAGGAGACAACGCCGCAAAAAAGTCTTGATTCGACGGGTACCGCCAATGATCCAAGCGCATCTTGCAACGTAAGCTCTGGTGACCCTGAAATCTCCGTGCAACGCGCGAGAATGCGCCCAGGACAAGATGAGGTGAGATAGGGTGCAGGAGCCGTGGTGATCAGAGGGTGCTACTCGTCGTAGGTCAGCGCAGAGAGCTGAATCCACCCACCAACACGGAGGACTCCGTCGAAGCAGCGAAAGCTCCCTTGCGAAGGCGCCCTCTTGGCTTAGACGAACACAGGCCAGGAACGCATCTTTTAGCTCGATCGTGGTCAAAAAGGACGTCACTGACCGGTTACGTGTCCAACCAAGGCGAGCACGAACTTATCGGCGTAAACGGGCAAGAGCCCGGAGCAAGGTGCCAACGTCGGAGAATCGATCAAGTAGATGGGCTTCGGACCGCTGGACGACGCAGCAGGTGACAGGCGTTAATGGCCGTGTAATCAGATCCTCGTGCGGCCAACACTACGGGTTATTCGACAGCCGGGCTGGACCATGCCACCACGAACTCTGTAGATGAAGTTGGCCGACATCAGCGCCGCGGGACGCAACATCAGCTGGATCTGATGAGGTTGGCACGTAGCGCCAGATGTTAGACGGTAGTAGCTCCTGGATGTAGGCAACATAGTTGTCGACCAAGGCATTCCCTGTGGGCTCCACGGAACGAAGCCAGCGCTGGACGATTTGGGAGTCAGTCCACGCACGGCAGTTTTCGATAGGGACACCGAGCTCCGTTGATGTCAATTAAAGCAGATTGGCTGCGAGTAGTGCGGCTTGGAGCTCAAGACGGGGTATTGTCATCAGAGGCTGGGGCGAAGAAGCTGGCTTTAGAGTTCGGATTGGAACGAGCTTGGTTTTAGCCAAAAGAATGTGGCAGCGCACTAAACCTTTAGAGTCGGTAAGTCGAGAAAAAGTTACAGCTGCCATGGCGCGGTGGCTTGCATCGGATAAGGCGTGGAGCTGCAGATCCAAATCGGGTGACCATCCAATCAAGCGTGGGATAGCAAACCCATGGATCACCTGAAGCTCGGAGGCAAAAACTGACCACTGACGGGCCATTGACGGTGGCACGACCTCATTCCAGTCGAGTTCAGTGCGCCATAAATCCTGGAGCAGAAACTTGGCGTTCAGGATGGTAGGGGCCAGCCAGCCACACGATTCAAAAAGCCGTGCCAGAGTGGCGAGAATTGTCCGCTTCGTGTCTTGAGCCTGAACTCGGGGAGGAATAAGACGGAAATGGTCTGAGGATGGATCCCAGCTAACGCCAAGCTCACTCACAAAACCATCAGTGGCTTGCTCTTGCCAAGTGGAGCACTCTTCTTCTTGGAGATCGTCTAAAAGCTCAGGCACGTTTGCTACCCATTTTCTCATCGGAAACCCTCCAGCTTGCAACAGGCAGATAAGCTGGTTTCGGAGTTCACGTGCGGCATCGAGTTTGTCAGCGCCGGAAAGGATGTCATCTGCATAGCGATCACGCATGGCAGCAGTTGCAGCTCCAGGCCACCTGTGGCCTTCATCCTCGCACAACTGCTGGATGATCCGCAGTGACAAGTAAGGCGAGAAAAAAACGCCGTAAGTGACTGTGAGCAGCTGATTTTGTAATCACGTATGTAGTTTCATCTGTATTTACACTGGTAAAGTCACTTGGAATTCTACTTGGAATTCCACTTGGAATTCCAAATGGGATTTTGGATTGGAAACTCCAAGAGTCATTCCAAGTGGAATTACAAATGACCACTGAAGATACATTTTTGCCTTTTTTAAAATAGTTAAAATTGAAATTTCACGCAGTATAATGGTTATGTTAGGTGTTATTATCCATATAGTAACACCAAATCAGAAAGGTTCAAGTATTTGTTCTCAGATTTTGGAAAAATAGATTTTTTTATTTTTCGTTCAAATTTTCTTGAAATAACTTGAACCCCTCTGCTTAGGTGTTACTATATGGATGATAACCCTTAATGAGAACATTAAACCGCTTGAAATTTTAATTTTAACTATTTTAAAAAAGGAAAAAATGTACCTTTAGTGGTCATTTGTAATTCCACTTGAAATGCCACTTGGAATGACACTTAGAGTTTCCAATCCAAAATCCCATGTGGAATTTCAAGTAAAATTCCAAGTGACTTTACAAGTGTAAATACAGATGGAATTACATATGTGATTAAAAAATATCAATCAGTAGGGTAGGCGGAATGCTTGGATCTGGGCTCCACACGATGCATTGCAGGTCAACGTCCTGAGGGTTAACTTGAATTTGGCGAAACATCATCCGGGCGTCGGTGCAGAATGCGAAGCGATGTCTACGCCAGCGTAGCAGGACCGTTGGCAAGGTTGCCTGGAGCCTCGGCCCAGTGTGCAGGACATCGTTGAGACTGTATCCACTCGAGGTCACGTGCGAGGCATTAAAGACGATGTGCAGCTTTCATCCTCGATCCCCACGCTGCCAGATGCCATGGTGCGGGATGTAGCTCACAGGACAAGTCGGCGTGGAGACCAGAGCATCTGACAATGGCCTCATACGGCCCAGCGCGACGTACTCGTCCATGAATCGAGAGTACTCGATGGCCATATCTGGGTTCCAATGAAGGAAAGCAGGCTTGCAGGGACCTTAAGGATGCTCAGGCGCTCTGTGCACTGTCACCAAGGAGATGGAGGGCGTCCTGCTTCGAGGGAAGCCTCACTATGTAGCGATTTGGACGGACAATCTTTGACAGAATTGGCCCGCTTCAAGCAATTGAAACAGAGCCTTTCGCGGAATACGACGTTCTTCTTGGCCATCTCGTTTAAGCCTTGGAACTCGCTGCAGTGGCCTAGATAGTGAGCACCATGACAGGTAGGGCAGATAAGCGAGCTTTCTTGAGTTGCAAGGGTTCGGAAGCTCCGGGTGGCTGAAGAGGGTGCCGTAGTACGTGAGCTGGAGGGCACAGGAGTGCGTGTTACGCGAGAAGCTTCAACAGAGTGGAGAGTGCGACACTCGCGACGAAGGAAAGACGCCAAGATAGTAGACGTGGCTATGTTAACTTCTAGTTCCGGGCTGGATGCCTCGAGCTTCTCCAACTCATCCTCCCAGGCCCATCTAGTAGATGGATCCAAGCTCGTGGTGGCGAGTGAGACGAACCAATCGTCCCAGTGGTCCACAGGGTGACCTAGAGCGCGGAGTTGGTCTCGATGGCGCTTGAGGGTGTCCAGCAGTGTCTATAGATTTTCAGCGGACTCTTCCCACATGGGTTTGATGCTGCGCAACGTCGAGAGATGATCGTGCACAAGAAACCAGCGGTGATCATACCACGTCTCGAGGAGGACTCCCAGTTTTCCTGCCAACCAAACTGAGGGATGCTGATGGATGGCAGTCTTGGCCCACGACGCTGAATGATATCGGTTGAAAGAACCGGAAAATTAGGTGGCTTCGGCTGTAGGTGGTTGTGGTGGTCGTAGATGCTGGACCGTGCAGCAATATAGTCGATCTCGGCTGAGGCGTACACGTTACCCACAGCATCTACCGTAGCAGTTGTGGCCGCTTCCAGCAGGGCTACATGGTTAGCCTGGAAGTCACGCCAATACTCGTCAAGAAGTTCGAGCCGAGCTTTGACAAGACCCAGGGTCCATTGATTATCCTTGGTGTCAATGGCGGTCTGCGAGAATCGGGTGCTGACGTTCCCGAGTGATTGCTGCGTCGCGAGCAAAGACGTAGTGCTGTCGTCCCTGTAAAAGACAGAGAGTTCGATGTGTACTCCGTTTAACGTATGTGGCGTGTACCAATACAGAGTGGCATGCAGCGTGGGCACGTGGCGGCTGCGGCAGTTCATAACCTACACAGCGTGCCTTGACGTGAGCCTGGTGTGCGACGTGGGCTCATGGCGGCTGCAGCATTCTCTAACCAACATACACGGTTCTCTGCATGAGGCGTGGGCACACGGTGACCACGGCCACTACATGGAGAGGACTCTCAAGGACTCTCTCGAGTTGATGGGTGATACGACCTTGACGAGATCATAACCCAGCAGAACCTGGCACACGCCGCTTCCTGAGCAATCATGAACCTCGTGGCATCACTTGCTGCCAAGAGCTTATTGCTCCCGAGGCAATGGTGGAGAGGTGCGCCCTAATGCTAATGCATAAATGTACTCACATGATAACGATCAGCGTTGCACCCAGACGATCCTCACGCGGCTGTGACGCGCGATCCGGATCGAAGGACCAGATGTTGGGCAGATGAATCAATTTCACTCGCCCTTGTGTCTTTTCAAAAGTCGGTTTATTCAATTCAGTACAAGTAGAGTATCAAGTGAAAGAACACTGTGTAGACGAGACAAGACGTAGAAGAGAAAAAAACGGTGATGCCGTGTCGACTCGTTAAAGATGACTGACTCCAGACGCGCCCACCGCTCGGAGGACGCCACACACCCTGCTCCCGCTAGAGACCTCTCCAAATGCAGGACGGGCAATTGGTTAATGAGACTGGGCAATTCAAATACAGGCCAAGACAGTGGTCCGGATGGGGGTTGAACACACGAAAAAATAAAAAATAAAAAAAAAATGCAAACAAAGTAATATGTTTTAGTAGATAAATGTCAAACTTAATGTATAGAAGTTACAATAATAACTAGAAAAAAGTATTTCATATTATTTGCGAAAAAAAAAAAAATATTTTCTCTGGTCATGGTCCAGGAGGGTCATAAAAAAAATTATTGATATAAAACGTGAATTGATCTCTTCATTTCTCAAAATAGAGAAATTATGTTGATGGTATAGACTGGCAAAGCATTAATTTTGCTTTTAAAAGGGATGACAAGTTAAAGAACTTTTAGACTTTCTTTCGATCTTAAAAATATAGAAAGTGCCCCTTCAGAATTCAAGTTAAATAAACAGAAATTAGAAGAAATTGATCAAATTACATAGGATGAGGCTTCAATGTTTTTAAAAAAAGCGTTAGAAATGGTTAACAAAAATGGTTAAAAAAAATTTTAAAAGCACTAGTAAGTTATCCAAAAACCGTTATAACAGCTCTTTTAAAAAAAAATGAACACAAATATAAGAAATACATTCGAGCTTACTAATGCTTTTATAATTTTTTTAAATTTTAATTGGTTATCTTGTTTAGTATGTACTTATAATGTAGAAATTAAAAAAATTTTAGGTCACAAAACTTAAAACGTAAGTAATCATAAAATACAAGTAGGAAAAATGCAAAGTAATGTTGCACTAAGGAAAAAAAAAAAAAACCATTTGTTCCATAAGAGATTTGAACCCAGTACCGCAAAAAATAACGCAGCGCAAAAGTACTAACAAACTGAGCTTCCAACACATGGGAGTTAATAGGACTAAAAGTCACTTATGTTTTATAGTAAAGTTCCACAGCTTAAGATAGAATTGCAGTCAAGCAATGTATTAACGGTTAACAAACATAAGTTATTACAAAAAAAAAAAAAAAAAACAAGACTCCAGTGCACTGGATTATTTAAGTAAAGGTGTTCGTATATGAGTGATTAATATTACTAATTTAAGAAAAAAAATAAAAAGAATTGAGAGCACTGTGTCGTTGTGGTCAATTCGTTTGTTTTTATTCAATAATGTCACTTACCGTAAAAGTGAAGGATTATTGAGTACACTGGGTTGTTGGAGTGTTCATTCATAAATAAACGAAAATATTACCTGATTAGTGTTCAACTCGTCATTTGTTGAGAAATGAAAGAAACAACATTATTAATTGGACAAATATGGTTTTGTTTCTATAGCTGAATGATCAACTGCATTTAGTGAGGTTATTTTGCTTTCAGAGAGGAAAAGCAAGAAAAGTAATACATTAAGCACTTCTCCGTGCATATGTGAGTATACAACGAGCGTGCGGTGGCTCAGTCGGCTAGGTCGTGGATTGAGACGCGAGAGACCATGGTTCAATTCCCGGCCATAGTACGACTTTTTCGGGCAAGTACCTCTGTGATTTTTCACATGTGCTTTTTCACCACGCAATGCTCCTCGAGGAGAGTTTAGGTGACCTTCTCGCAGCAAAATTGCCTAATTTCCCCCTACTCCCCTCCCAGTATTGTGAGGCCTCCCATCCCTCTTCCCTTCCTTCTCCCAAGTGCTAAGTGCCCTGTGTAGTGCCCTTTATAGGAGCCGGACGTAAAGCACTATAATATAAAAAAAAAAGTGAGTATACAACAATAGCTATAGGTATACAGTCAGTTGCATGCATATACGTATAGATTTAGCTTCCCCTCTCCATCACGGATGCACACATTTGGATTTCTCATTTCTCCCTTTCTCATATCCCTTCAGCTCTCCCACGAACTGGGCCTTCGAGCCGTCAGCCATTAGAAAACGTGTGCATAGTTCCTTTGCTGGCCACGATGGATTGGTGCTCAAATTAGCGTCAAAACATCGGCAAACTCCTTAGAAGAGTCACTGACAATCTCCGTACTAATTTCTGGTAGTAGAAATCCATGAAACATGTACGATACTTCGGATCAGAAATAAAAATTTGAGGAAGCCTCCACTCTGATGTATTGACTAGGTACGCTATTAACCTGTCACAAATTTCGCAGTGCATATATCATGTAGTATACACCGTATACAGCATTCTTAGTATGTGTTACTGTCCACTGTTAGCTGCTGGTGCTACTACCTATTATATAGGATTTCAAAAACGTACACATACTTATTTAATATCTCAGCTCTGTGATTGGCTAGAATCCATACATATCCTTACAAAAAAGTCATGTACATACTGTAAGCGTGACGCTTTTTCGTACTCCTGTACAAACTTGCATAGGCACGTGTAGGCAAGACTTTTACTTATTTGTCATCGTGCAAAACAACCCCTTCTAGACTGTAGGTGAGTGCTTCAGTGATTGTCATCTCATTTCTCTATACTGATAAACTAGTGTACCAGGCTTGACTTGAAGATGATTGTCACGCCGAAGAGACCGATGTTCAAAGCCACAACGCTGTGATTCTTGAGGTAATGTAAGGATTTTTTCGAGGCAGCAAGTGTATGGTAAGAGTGACGTATTGAATAATCTTTCATAAACATTCGTCAGCACGTGTAAGCAACATTTTCACCTTTTTATGCTTGTGCAATAAAATTTCCATCTAAAATATTGTTCGTGCTTTAGTGTTTGCCGTCTATCATCTCTGCACTGGTACACTTGTGCACCAGCTCACAGTACCGGGCTTTGACTTGAAGATCATCGTCAAACCGGGGAGGGCAGCGTTTAGAGCCGTGACGTAGTTAACCTCAAGTTCATGTAAGATTTTCGTCGAGACAGTAATTGTATGGTAAGCGTGACGTTTTTCATACTCTTTTACAAACATCGATTGGCACGTGTAGGCACCATTTTAACCTATTTATTTTAGAGTGAAACAACTTCCATCTAGAATTTAATCAGTGCTTTAGGGCTTTTTACTCCATACATCTGTACTGCTACACTTGTGCACAAGATCCCAATACCAATTTTTGACTTAAAGATGAAGATCATTGTCACGCTGGGGGACTAGTGTTTAGAGCCGTGACGTAGCTATTTTTGAGGTACTGTAGGCTTTTGTCAAATAAGCATAAAATCAACGATT